TCTCTCTCTCTCTCTCTCTCTCTCTCTCTCTCTCTCTCTCTCTCATTCTTTATTTCTCAAACAAGAAACAAGTCTTTTGTTTTAGGAAAAACCGAAATGTACATAATTTGAAGAGCAATTTAAAAAAGGAATCAATGATAGGCAACAGGGAGCAGATCTTTTGGAAATGGAAAAGGGATTAGAAATGAGAAGAAGGGTGCAGCAGGGAAGGGAAAGTGAGATGAAGTTGTGGCAGGTGCATGGAGCAGCTCCCACGCAGGAATGTATGCAGTATATTTCATAGATGTAGGCTAGCAAAAACTTTAAAATGAAAAATTTTTAAAGGACTGGGATATATAGTAGCTCAGTGCAAAGCCCCTAGGGTACATCCCCAGAAAACCACCTACCCAAAAAAGAGAGTATGTGTATGTCCAACTACCTTGCCCAGGATAACCTTAAATCCTGTGGTTTAAGTGATCCTATTTCATCCTCCAAGCAGATGCTCCACAGGCACACAAAATTCTATACTTTGCTTTTTGTTTTGTTTTTCTTAATGTGACTAATATTGCCTACATCAGCCTACATTTTACTGAGCATTGTTATTTTTAAAAAGCAAAATCCAAACTTCACTGTGATGCCAAATGCCGTAATCCCAGCACTCAGGGAAACTGAGACAGAAAGATCGCATATTCAACCCCATCCGTGGCAACATAATGAGACCCTATCTCCAAACAAAAACCGAAAATGATTGGCATATAGGTTCATTGTGAAGGCCCTTGGCCCAATCTCCAATGCCACAAAGAGATAAAGTAAAACCTTAAATTATAAGAACTGTCTTGGTCTTAGATCTTTCTGGTACCTTTTATGAAGAGTGAAATATTTTAAAGTTATCTTTTGCTGCAGTGGTACTAGGGATTGAATTCAGGACCTTTAAACTTCCCAAGTCCTTTTTATTTTTTATTTTGAGTGTCTTGTTAAATTGCACAACTGGTCTTAAAATTACAGTACTCCTGCCTCTGCCTTCCAGAATGCAAGTGTGCTGGGATCACTGGTGTACAGTAATACCTCAACTGTTCTGTTTCATTTTGTTTTTTTATTTTGTTTTATTTGAGAGACAGACTTACTGGCTCTCTGTATAGTCCAGGCTGATCTCAAACTTGTGATCCTGAGTGTTCAAACTCAGCCTCCTGAGTTGTGGGATTGTCAGAATGTGCTACCACCACACCTGGCTTAAAACTGCCTTAAACACCAGATTTTGGAGCAAGCCTTTATCTACAATTTTAACAGGAAGCCATGCAATGTGTGGAAGAGCTGAATGCCCAGGGCCTGCTACATGTGTTCGTGCGAGTGGGAGTAGAGTCTACCCTAGAGAGGAGCCAGATCACCAGAGATCACATGGGTCAGTTACTGTATCAGCTGGTACAGTCAGGAAAACTCAGCAAACAGGACTTTTTCAAAGGGTGAGTATCCTCCTCAAAAGTGTCACTGGTTACTAGGCTCTTTAGTTAAAAATGAATCTCCTCTAACATGTTGGTATGGTGTAATATATTGATACCATGTTACTTGATATGAATCTCTGAAATCTTCACCAGCTCTTTTACTTAAAGACCTACATGGGGCCGGGGAGATGGCTTAGTGGAATAAGCGCTTCCCTGGCAAGCGCAAGAGGCCTGAGTTCAATCCCTGGTTCCGCAAAAAAAAAAAAAAAAAAGACTTAAAGACCTACATGAGTTTTTTTGTTTTGTTTTTTGAGGTGGCTTCCCTAAGTCGCCCAGGTAAGTCTCAAACTCACCATCCTCCTCCCTCAGCCTTCCTTGCTGCTAGGATTGCAGGCATGGACCACCATACGCAGGTAATGTTCATTAAAGATAAAAGCCTTTCTTTTTGAGAAAAATTCTGGAAAATTGACTTAAAACTGTTCTTGCAATCAACTGTGTTTATTTTGACAAAGAGTTGCTTTTCTTTCTATTTACTCTAACCCAGCAGAAGGATCATAACTTTCAGAGCCAACCAAATAGCTCAGTGGATTAAAGTGTCTGCTTAGGCGCAGGGGCCAGGAGTTCGATCCCTGGGCCTGCTATGCCGGCCCTGCCTCCGGGGTGCACTGAGACAGTGATTGAGACTGGGCATGGTGGTGTATGCCTGTAATCCCAGCACTTGGAAGGCTGTAAACAGGAGGATCACTACGGAGTCTGATCTATGTAGTGAGACCCTATACACCCCATCCTAAAATACAAAAAACAAAACTTTTTTAGTGGTTTAGCCTATTCCAGGTTAGTTTCATTATGACTTTTGTCAGCAGCTTGTTGGTACGATTTAGCTCAATAGTTATATCAACATTTGATCAGGCTGAGGTTTTTCTATTTTTAACTGTTTGTTTTTGTGATACTAGGACTTGAACCTGGGACCTTCATGCTACTCAACATCCCCAGCCCATTTATTTATTTATTTTTTTAAATTTTATTGTATTTGTGTGTGTGTGTGTGTGTGTGTGTGTGTGTGTGTGTGGCCAGCTCAGCCCACCAGAGGGCGGGGCTGGCTGGCATGTGGTGCTGGGGGATTGAACCGCGGTCCCTGTGCTTTGCCAAGCTTGTTCTAAGTAGGTGCTTTAGACCACTGAGCCATCTCACCAGCCCCCATTTATTATTTTTAATATTGAGACAGAGCCTCACTAAGTTTCCCAGACTGGGCTCAAAACTTGAGCTCTTTCTGCCACAGCCTCTCAAAGTACTGGGACTATAGGCATGTACCACTATGCCCATGCTGATTTTTTGTTTTAAATTAATTACGGATTGATTTTTTTTTTTTTTTCAGCACAGGGGATTGGATTCTGAAAGTCTTTTCATTGAACTACATCTCCAGGCTTATTTATTTATTTATTTATTTATTTTTCTTTTGAGATAGATTTAAGTTGTGGACCTGAACTTCTGATCCTCCTGCCTCTGCTTCCCAGAGAGCTGAAATTACAGGTGTGCAGCACCACACAGCTCATGTATTGATGATACACTTTCACCACAGGGGTTGTATGTACCTTACCCACAGAGTCTTACCCTAAGGTTCAAAATCGATCTTTAAGGTGAAATTTGCATATAGTTTTTTAAAAATCTTGATTTCTCTCTATCAAATTTTTATCAGATAAAAACATAAAAGTACATCTGTCACTGACACATATCCACTGTGTAAAGGAACAAGAACTGAAACTTCCTGAGGTCAGGGCCTCAAACTTGAATCTACTATCTCATCCCCATGGGCCTATGCATGCTGGATTGATGGCAGTAAGAATTCCGCCTACTTAAGAACTCTATAGTTTTGTAAAGGATGATGGTGATGCCTTCATGGTACTAGAGAATTTATGCTTGTTCCTAAGGTCATTAAGAAGTGTCTTTTATTAAAAAGCTAGATTTCTCTGAATTACGTGAATGTGGCTAGATTAAGACCATCTCATCCAGTTAACTTCATTAAAAACATGGCCAAAAATTGCTGTGGTTCCTGACCTTTAGGGCCAGGATGACCTCGCAGTTTTATAAGAGAAATCTGCAATTCAGTAACCAATATAAATATTAAGAGCAAATGATTTCACTTTTTACCCAGATATTATCATGTATTTCCCCAGAATATTCTGGAAATGAGAACACTAGGTGACTTTATCATTTTCTCTCTCATAATATTCAGAAATTTATTAATATCTACAAATATTCAAGGAGAAATAGTCTATTTCCACTGGCTATAATTAAACTGATGAAGTAATAGCTTAGTTTGTAGGACTTCTGAGACAGTTGCATTTTCCTGTGTGTGGTTTCCTGAAAAAAAACTGTCACGCCCAGACATAATGACTATAGTCTCATTGCAGTGGTGCTACTGCTGCTCCTTGCGTAGCCAGCATAGCTGCCTATTATTAAACAGTAAATGAGGTTAACACTTCTGTGTCTCTGCAATTATTTCATCACTTTCTATCACTGCTTCCTTCTGTGAGGCAGTGGCTTCAAGTCTACCTTTTGATAATTAGTTAACTCTAACTAAAACTTATAAAATATGTAATGTTTATTCTTAAATCGTTAGATCTCACTATTTAGTGCTCATCTTTTTGTAAGATGGCAGCAAAGGGTTGTTCCTTGTCCTTATCCACCAAGAACCTTCTTACAAGTAGATCAGAATTTCCCAGCCTTATTTTATGTAAGTTCCACATCCAGAAAGCGCATTTCATTGGGACCCCAACACCCAACATCCAAAGATCTGTTTTTCCATAATATAATGGAAGAGCATTGGAAATGAACACCCCTGGGTGCTGCTACTGCTGAGATGCCAACTTGTGAACAGCTGGGAAAGCAGTTTACGCCTAACTTCATAGGCTAGCAGTGACGCTAGAAAGCTGTGATCTACCATCTCTCTTCTGTGCCTTTCAGAATATATAGGCTACAGTGTAGTAAAGGAACAAGGAGGAATTAAGTTAAAAATAGCCTTTATAGATAAGGTTTAGGTTCTGTCTTGGTTACTCTTTTCTCATTGCTGAGACAAAATACCTGATGCCCAAAATTAAGGAAGGAAAGCTTTATTTAGCTCAGTTTGTGGAGTTTTCAGTCCGCGCTTGGGCAGCTCCCAGACTGAGTGGCACATGGCAGAATGCAACAGTTCTTGATGGTAGAAAGCAGCAAAAGCAACAAGAGCAAAAGGGAGAAGCAGCAGCAGAGAGCAAGCCTCTTTCGTTCCTTTATACAGATTACTCACCCCAGGGTGGGTGTAGGACTCAACACCCGTAATCCCAGCATAGGACCACAAGTCAAGCATAAACCTAGAAGCCCACTCCATGACTGCAGGAGGCTTTGGGGGACAGCTAGACACAAACCAGAACAGGTTCTTTGGAGTTTTCCTCTAAGGTGCTGTATCAGCTGTGAGCCGAAATAGTTTTGTGTATAAAACCTCCACAAAGATGACATTAAGCCATCTTTTGGAATTATCAGGACTTGCTTTTATGTATTTCATGACACAAATTAAGTAGGCAGGTGCATTATTGTATGTGTAGATATATTTCAGACATCACTCAGTTATTTTTATTATGATTTTAGAGAATTTATTTATTTTTATTTATTTATTTTGGCAGAACCAGGGATTGAACTCAGACCCTTGCGCTTGCCAGGGAAGCGCTTATTCCACTGAGCCATCTCCTAGAGAATTTTTTTAAAAGTCTTTTAAAGTACTTTAGTGGTATTCATTATATATCATAGAATCAGAATGACTTTAAAAGTGTAATGAATAAATAAAAACCAAAAGTAGTAAAAATTGGAGTTCATAATACCCTCAAAATATTTACTGTAAGGCCAGCCAAATAGCTCAGTGGATTAAAGCGCCTGCAAGCAGGCGCAGGGGCCGGGGTTCGATTCCTGGGCCTGCCATGCTGGCCCCACCCCCAGGGTACGCTGAGACAGTGATTGAGACTGGGCAGGGTGGCGCATGCCTGTAATCCCAGCTCTTGGGAGACTGTAAACAGGCGGATCATTACGAGTCCAATCTAGTAGTGAGACCCTGGACACCCTGTAGACCCTTCCCTAAAATGAAAAGAAAAAAAAAATTTTGCTGTGCAGGGAACTTGTTACATTAATATATATTTGACTGTGGGAAGTGTTTTTTGGAGAGGAAATTCTTACCTTCTCCTTGACTACTTTTCTGGAACTTTTATTTCTCTGCCAATTCTATGGGAAAAGACCATAGATATGCGTACTGAGTGTCAAGTGCAGAATTGCAGGGGTACTAGTTAACAGCAAAGACTTTGGGTACAATTTTCATGTAAGTTGTCTTTTTGTCATAATCCTATGATGATGATACTAAAGTATGAGAAGGTTATCTTTTAATATTTTTAAGGGGCAGGCCCCCAAATAGCAGAAGGATTTTTTTTTTTTTTTTTTGGCAGTCTTAAGATGCCTTGGGGGCATCTCTGGTTTCCTTTGGAGAGACTGGGTTTGAATCAGAGCATCTTGAGCCTGACTGCTTTGTTTAAGCAGGCACTGAAACAGCTGTGCTAATGGGCAGGCCCCCTGCTTTTTTGTTTTTGAGACAGGATCTCACTACATAGTTCAGGCTGGACTTGAACTCAATATGTAGCCCAAGCAGGCCTTGAACTAAAGATGATCCTCCTGCCTCTACCATCCCAGTGCTGGTATTACAGGCATCTACCACCACACCTGGCATTATAGTTTTAGTCTTTTGAAGAATCTCCATACTATTTTCCATAATGCATATGTTGATTTACTTTTCTACCATTAATTATATGAGTTCGCGTTTCTTTGTATCTTCACTAGCCTTTATCTTTTTAAAATATATTTTATTAGTGCTTATTATCTTTATAATGAATACCATACCAGTTACTGTTTACTAGAGAAATAGATATTAAACAAGATACACAAATACGTAAGGATTTACAGGCCAGAAATAAAGTTCAGTGGCACAGTGCTTGCCTGGCGAGTGG